CCGCCCCCCGCTCCCCCGCTGTCTTCCAGCAGCTTCGCACGCAGCTCTTGAAGTGGCAGTGGGACACGGGTGACCCCTGGGTGTGTGCCCCCGACGCTGTCCTGGAGGAGAAACTGAGCCCCCAGTGCCGGCCGCTGCACAACGAGCTGTGAGCCTCGGCCCTGCCAGGTGTCCCCCAGTGCCAGGGGACAGCCGTGCGCTGCCCGCCGGGCACGGGGGGGTCAGAGCAGGATCCTGGCTGGGCCAGTCCCAAGTCCCTGGGTGATGCCCCGAGGCTCAGCTCTCTCTGTCGCAAACACCGCCTGGCCCTGGAGCATTCCGGGATCCTCGTGCCTTTATCCTCAGCCGGAGGAGCCACGGGGCCAAGCTGCCCCTCAATAAAGCCTCTGGAGGAGAGGACTCCGTTTTTACCTGGAGCTGAGCATGTCCCTGCCAGCTGCTGGCGCCACGGTCTCTGTGCAGCCCTGCCTGCTGCCAGCCCTGCCGCAGCAACTTTATTCACAGCACTGCTCCCTCGCCCCCCCAAAAGACAGCCAGGAGGCTCCCGCAGTCCCTCGACAGGTTACCGGTTCCACGTGTTAACAGGTTTGCTGTCTCACAAGGCACTTGGGTCTTCTTTTCCCCATTTTGCAGGAGATGAGGGTTTCCCCGTCCCCAGGGGCTGCACGAGCCCCCACCTCGATGCAAGTCCAGTGCACGCATCTCCAGGGACCGCACGCTAGCCAGAAGGGAAGGCAAAGCCCAGGAGCCGAAAAAAAAACGGCGGCAGCTCTGGTTTTACAAGGGACGGGACAGATTCGGCCCCAGAGCCGGAGGAGCAGCATCACCTCTCCCCACTGAGCGGCGCAGGTCCAGCGCGGGCTCAGGACCAAGCGATCACAAACTGCTCCCACATCGGCAGCGACACGGGGACTCTCAGCACCTGAGGGGAAGAAGGAAGGCTCAGCACGGTGAGAACTGGCCAGGATGGAGCCTGGGGGCTGTCAGAGCCAAGGGGGTGTCCTGCCCCCCTGGGGTGCACTAGAGATGCAGCCTGGCACAGCCCCCGTGCCGCAGAGCCCCCCAGGAAGGGTGCCCATGGCAGACAGCCCCAGGAGCAGAGCCGTGCCAG